CGCGGAGATGGCCTTGACATGGGAGTATCCTTACTCGGAGGTTCATGGTAGTTGTAAGTTTGGTCACCGGGATCTAGCTTGGGTCTACAATGGATCTCGGGATGTGAAAGCATGAAGCGGATCAGATAGGGGGAGTTTCAGTCAGGGTGCAGCTTGAGGCAGAAGCAGTCAAACTCAGTCCTTGGAAGCTTGTCCGTAAATTGGAGAGCGTGCTTCTGTTGGGGCAGGTATTAAAGTCATCATAGTTAAGTGGCAGCGGGAATAGATAGTGGTGCTAGTACAGTGGTAGTAGACACGTTTTAGGGTTAGGCTTTTGGGTTTAGGAGGAGGAGGAGGAGGACTAGGAGGAGTAAGAGGAGCAGAAGAAGCAAGCGGAGTGGCAGCAATGGTGACAATAGTATGATTAACAAGACGGGTACTTGTCACAGTAGTGGTCATACAACTGTAGTCATGGAGTGATGCTGCAATCATAACAAGCGAAGCTGTAATAATGCAGTTCATCAATATTCATTTGTAGTGAGCAGTACGTATTTGTAGTAGCAGTAGTTAGAATTCCTACTTGACAATTAGGCATGGTGACCTGTGCCAGTGGTGCTAGTACTGGTACGATGCTGGCAGTGGCAGCACCAGCCATGTTTAACAAAATTAGCCACAGCAAGCCTAGGCTTTGCGCTTAGATGGGTGGGGTTCCACATCGTCAACGCGCCTAGACATTGGGACCTTAGCCGCTTGGGCTGGGACTGGGAGAGAATTCTGCTAATCGTAGGTTGCGGTTTCATTGGACAGGGTAGCCGATGCATACCTGGAAATTCTTGGGCCCTCATTACACAGAAGCCTGCCAAAGGGATTGTTACTAGGAGGCAGCCAAACTCAAAATATCTTGACCGACCAACCTATAACGTGTAGAAACACTGGCTGTGAGCTCCCACACAAATCCCCTTGGGGATGCCCTCTCCACAACTTACGTTAGCCTTACCTACCCTCACAAGCTTTTGCATTTGCGAAGGTGGAGCTCACATACATGATCCAAACATGGCGTCAAAGTACAAGACACCACAAGCGCATGCTTATCTTGATCGACTCCAGCGTATTTGTACTGGCCTTGCAGAGGTCACGAACTGTGACCTCTTCTGCAGACTTCTTTCCAGCGACCTGGCGGCAGCTAGCAGCTGGCAGCCATCTCACAATTAAGGCTTCGCAGTGTTTCACACCGAGTCAGAGCGAATGCCTAAAGAAACAAGAGTGATAAGGGGATTATCTGAGGCTTATGTGAGACTTATGCTGCGGTGTATCACAATGAGTGTGGGGCGTGGCGCTCATTTTCGAACATTTGGGGGTTCGGGTCGGATTCAAGGTGTGGAGTCGGGCTTTAACTTAACTTCCAATGTATTTCGTGTTTCGCCTCCTTCAAAAACAGGCCCACTCGTTGGCGCAGGCAGTCTTGGCGGCGTTCAAGAGGGCTCAAGGCGCCAGCCAAGGATAGACAAGGTGCTCGGTATCACTGGCTCGAACTTAAGCACTATATCAGCTGCAGAGGTTGGAGAGCGAAGATAGATGCAACATGTCGAGAAGGGTCGTGTTTCCTTAGTGGATGATGTAGGCAAAAGGACCAAACGTGATTCTGCTTGTGCTGGGATGGAAGGAAGGTTCCGAAACAGGCACGGAATCCGGCAACACCACGGCACCAGCACAATGCCATGCGAATGATTCTGGGAGGTTTGAGCGTGGAAGGCACGCTGAAGAAAGTTGGTTCTTTACTCTTTAGTTGCCCTTGCCCTCAGCTTGAAGAGGAAGCCTTGCAACTGACTCCTGCAACTTCTGCATTTCATTCTAGCTAAGCCACCTGGTGCTGAAGGCATGCTGGTACTTGTGTTTGCTTCGGTTCAGCTGAATGTCGGTTGCGCATCACAGCCAGGCCTGCAGCCATGTGGAATCTGGACTGCTCTGCTCCAGACAGAGCTCTACAAGCCATCCATTCGCACGACCTCGGGCAAGGTGAAGGAATGGCATGCCATGCTTTTCAGCGCTACCAACACCTTGCGCGCTGTAATTTCTGTGGCTGCAATATAAAAGAAATCCCGACCGCAAACAAAACAATTGGTTGAGGAAGTCTTGCGGTTTAGCAGCTATCAGCCAGCATGCGTGTAGCTACACCAGAGCGCAACGTGTTCTGGAAATGGCCATCTGCAGATCTCAGCAAAGCTCACCTTCAGCCGCGTCGAGATGGTATCTGAGTCTGGGTGCACGGCCTACCCCAAAAGGGCTCAACGACCCTGGCCGCAGGTCCAGTGGCAACGGCAAAGGAGGCGGCCTTTGCCAATGAAACGGCTTCTACTTCCAGGAGCAAGTCCTGGGCCTTGGGGTGTCGGTGGAGGAGAGTAAGGCAGAGGTTGCTCAGTTGCTCAGGTCTGGCTCATTCCCAAAGCGTTGGGTCATGTCGAAAGACATGGCAAACTCTGCAGCTGGCTCCAAGCATGTATGATAGATTCCGATAGGCGTGCTCTCGGAAACGCAGACTCCCGAAGTCACTTGGGGATACTTCTTCTGCAACTTAACGTCCCATCTTTGCATGCAGCACAACCGTTATTGGCAGGCAAGCTGGTGGGCGGGGTAGACGGTGCTGCCAATACGGCTGCCGGGGAAGCTATACTTTCGGCTTCCACTCCTGTTCCCGTGGAGGACGTCAACAAAACGGAATGTTTCCAGCCTCCAAGGCAGCGACTGGCTGTTGGGCCACTCAGCAAGCGCCTTCCACGATTCAGGTATAAAATTAGTGCATTCCAGAATTGAAGGGCTGCAGCTCCTAAAGTTTTGGCTTCCATCTTGAGGCAAGAGCCAATGCCAGGGAGTCTGCTCTACACTAGATTCCACGCCGAGCCGCTTGCAAGTCGAGGTGGCAAGCCCTTGCAAACATGCACAGTTCTCCAACCTATTTCGTCTAGTTGCAACATGTTGCAATTTGCCCCCTGCTTCCGCCCTGCTTGCCCCCTGCGACCTTCGTTCCGCTGGCGCCCTGGTAGAAGCCTACGACGCAGAGAGCTGGGCCTGAAGCGAGAAAAGAGAGCAAGGCTGTCCGGCTACGTCGGCTACGTCGGCTACGTCGTCATGTTACATGTCACCATCTGTCACGTTACATCTGGCCATTTGGCGAGAGACTTTATAATGCCTTCTGAGGCTAGAAAATGCAGACCACAACTGATGCGGCTCGCCTATTCACACAGCTAGATTGCTTATGCATACTCGGGCTGCCAGTTCTATTGCCTCCCAGATCTGCGTACATTAACAAGCCATCGAAGATGGGGACCATGTGTTTTCGACTTTTTCAGACATCCGCCTGGTCGGCCGACAATGAGCTCACGCAGCCGTGGCGTGGCCTCCGCAAAGTTGCTGGATGTTATACCAGGTGTTCGAAATGTTCATCAGGATGGACTGGCTTAGAACATCGGCACCCAACTGCTGACAACTAGGGAACTCTGATTTGCATTTCGTCATGGGTTGTGGCACTGCAAACTCATCCCCAAGGCCCATTGACAAAGTTGCAGGTTGACCCTTGTGATTCCTACAGTTGTAGCGCTTTGATGCGCTTTGTAGGGACGCTTCATGATCCTGTTACTCACTCGGCTTGGAGATTACGTGAGTTTTGCGATGCTATTCGGATTCATGGTAGATGGCTGTCAGACTAATGTGAGTCAAAAATCTTAGACTCCATATCAGAAAACCCCCTCGCATCATATTCCAAAATATTTTAGTCACAGATTTGACTCACCTGGAGATCGCCCGTTTAGATTCTAATTGATTGGGGGGCACCCGCATTGCATGCGCCGCTTCCCTACTGCAGAGGTGCTTTCAGAATTGCACAGGTCCCCACAAGAAGAATCCCATCCCCTGCGGTTAGCAGTTACATAATGTCAGATAATGTGGCTTCCATCTTGAGAAATAATAAGTTTACCATCTACAATAGCCGGACCAGGCTCAAAGGCTACTGAAGCAGGACATGCGACAGCTATAGCACCGATGCTCGCTGAACATCAGAGGGTCCGCACGTTGATGACCATGAGGAGATTTGTTGCGTCGGGCAGCTCAAACAAAGAAGTCGACACGCAAGCACACCTGTACACCTCCTCGAGCACGATCCCTTCTACCCTTCTTTTGCTGATTTTTCCAGAGTTTCATCCACAATACTCGCTTGTGAAAATCGTCGTAGTACCAAAACAACCCCATCCCAAAACCAAAGCAGGGACCAAGACCCACCTCCAGCAGGCTCTGCAGCTTCGCCTGGAGCAGCTCGGGGGCAAAAAGCCGCTGCTCGGCGAAACGAGGCTCCTGGAAAGCAAAAAAGGGTGAATAGCCGTGATACAGCAGCAACATCAACATCACAGTCACACCACTCCTATACCTTGAAAGTGTCCCTCATTCGGAATCCCTTTTGTGATCGTGACTTTCGGGCGTGTATGACCCTGGGAGCCCTAGTCCCAGCAATAACTTTTAAAAGAGCCCAAACCATCCAGACCCCCAAACCGGAATCCCAATCCTTGAGCCCTGAACCCCCAAAACCCCCCAAAACGCTCTGAAGCCTGATCCATGATATTGCCTTTAGAGCAGAGATATCAAACCAGCTGAGTTTGCAATCAGCGTACAGGCTCCTGAAGACTATTCTCTGCCATCGCTTCTTCCTGTCAAGGGATTCTATGCATCAGACACATTTACAAACACATATTTGTATAGATCGCCAATGATCGTCAGATGCATGTATACATGTAGCAAGATCACACATGTGCCGTGACACTGTCTTTGGGGGGCTGCCTTGGGCTTCGAATCAGCAGGGTCAGTAACGAAGACTAAGACTTCTCACACAGCTTACATCAATCAACATCTTGTAGGGGATGAAGCAGAGATCTGACAAACATGGGCTGGGGCTTTCGTCTTTTTTGAGTCAAGTTGTGAAACTGCCCATGCTCACAGCAAGCCCCCTGTTGTCAGTCTCATCTATCGTCACGCTCTCAGGAGCCACGTGGGGTCCGGAAAAGCCAATCCTCAATGACTACGTAATCCAAGTCTTCCAATTCATCTAGCATCTGCAGGGAGACCTTGACGG